AGAGAGAGAGAGAGAGAGAGAGAGAGAGAGAGAGAGAGAGAGAGAGAGAGAGAGAGAGAGATGTTGAATGGCGAAATTGAAATTGCGGCTGCGATCTATTTCACAATTGGAATGATTTATTTTTTTAATTAGCGTTTTTACTCAAAAGATCACAACAAAATCTACAAGTCCTCCAATTTTCAAGTTTTTTCACCTATTCTTTTGAGCGCGAAAACTCACTGAATTTGGAGTACTCTTTTAGTTGGTCCACACATGGCCGAGTGGCAAAAATGGAAAATGTGCCAAATCGGCGCAACGATTATTTCACAGTTTAAATGATTTTTTGAAAATGTTCTAATATTATTCCTGGAAGGGAAAATTTTTAATTTTTGAAATGCCCCTGAAGTTTGCATTTATTTGCGTTTTGCCCTTCCGACAACCGACTTACCTTGATTTGCCCCTGGGGCCTCTGAACTTTCATTCAGGCCCCTGTCAGTGAGGGGCGTTGTCGTAACGCACAGCCCGGACGCGGTCGCAGGTGTCAGACCTTCACAGCCGTGTCACGCAGGAATTTGTTCCACCTTTTCCACTTCGCATCGTTCCACTCCGGCCGTGCGAGCCAATCATACTCCTCGCAGTGCCTAGCGACCGGTCTCGACCCCGCGAGAGGACAACTTTCTCCTACTCAAGGGACTGTCACTACCCTTAAGTAGGGGTATCCTTGTTGAGCTACCTTCCCACATGTGGCGGCTTTTAATATGTCGTGCCAGAGGTGGATCGACCGAGGGTTTTTCTTTTCGTTGTAGCACAGGGACACTCGCGAATAAAGACCATTGATCCCATAACCGTTAAGTACTTGCGAAAAACACCCGTGACGCTCATATAAACAGTCTACCGCTAGGGAGTCATCATGATAATTCAATATATGGACCTCCCTAAACTGGGTTATTTGCGATGAACCAGATAATGCTCTCACATATACGAAGGCGTGCGACCCGCATAGTTATATGGGGTTTCGCCGGTACTTAAGGAAAAAGTTCAGCGGCTTCTCGCTAGCTGATGCTATCTAAGCAAACTAACCCTCTTACTTTTCGCTGATAATGGCAGTAATGAAGTAAGGGGCATTTTTCAAAGTGGTAGGGGGTTCCTGGAGTCCCTCAGCGGACGACAGTCTCACTATCACAGACCTCAATGTCCAACCAAATAAAATTTGAGGAGGACCCTATTTCCTTGTGATCTATTCTACCAATATCCCTTCTTTTTCATAAAATCCTTCCGAGATACGACCCTTCGATCTAACTCTGTCGATCCCCTCTAGTTCCCCTGTAACTTCGAAATAGATACGAGTATCATAGGGGGTAAATGCAAGTGAACAAGGCCACTTTCTCACAGTCATGGTGTGTCTAATGATATGCACGTACCACTCGCAAACGCACAGACCAAAGTCCAAGAACACAAAACTCCCTGACAAAAAAAAAACCTGCACAGATGCGAAAGAAAACACACATGTCATGCACTAAATGCAATCAACTTATGCTCTTCACGCTTATCTCTTATTCCCCAAACCATCTATCAACATTCCTTCTTAATCTTATGACACATCTTTGCCCAACCCCTTCACTGCACACGAAGGACCATCGAGAGTGATTAGGACTACTTGGCCATGATGACACAAGGGAAGTTTGCCTGCCTACATGGGGTTCACCTTTAGGAATGGGTATCAAACCGAAGAATAGTTAAATCAGCTAAACCGACTTGTTTTTCAGGGTAAAAAATATGCAAAATGCAATAGATGCACTGACTTTTGACAAGTCTCTTTTCTCAAGTAATATCTCTGTATTCGCGACCTGCGCACACAGACCACAAATTTCAACATCCTTCTCTATTTCCTCTATGTTTCTAAACTTTTCCTTCCTTGAAGTTAATCATTTCATGATTCGTTCACCCTTATTCAATCGAGTGTCTAACCACAGTCTAAATTTAGTTTTCCTTAATGCCCTTCTTTCTTTTACTTGTCTATAAGCTTTGTCTGTCACTTGCTTTATGCAAGTCGGTTTGTAAGGTGTTCATCTCAGAACCCCATTTGCGTGGTCAAATCTTCCTCCCGTTTCTATGTGCATTCCTGCTCTTAATTTATCTTTCCCTAATCGGTTTTCATTACTTTTTCCTCCTCGCCTTCTTCTAATCCTTAGGGGGAAAATAAATCTAAGCAAGAATCATTTCGCTTTTTGCGGAAAGAATGCATTGTTCCTGCATTCTCACAATTTTATCTTTCAACCCTTTATACTTCAAGTAATCGATTCGAAAAGACTATCATCCTTAGGCCAACCGGGCGGACACTCCTTGACCCTCTATACAATCACTTTCCTACAAGGAACTTAAAACAACATGTTGACGAACATACGAGAAGCAAACGGACGGGCACTCCTTGACCCTCTATCCAATCGCTAGACAACATCATTATTGAAGTGATTGGACGGACATTCCTTGGCCCCTATCCAATCACCTCTCACAAGGAACAAGAACAAACATGTAAACAAACTTACAATAAGCAACTGGACGGGCACTCCTTGGCCCTCTATCCAATCATCTCTCACAACGAACAAGAACAAACATGTAAACAAGTTTACAAGAAGCAACTGGACGGACACTCCTTGACCCTCTGTCCAGTTACGTAACAATACAATACATGAAGTGATTGGACGGACACTCCTTGACGCTCTATCCAATCGCTTCTCACAAGGAACAAGAACAAACATGTAAACAAACTTACAAGAAGCAATTGAACGGACACTCCTTGACCCTCTATCCAGTTACTTAACAACTCCAAATAGTGCTTTGATCTTTTAATCCCGAGGGTTTCAGACACAATGTGCACCCTTATGCACATCCAGAGAGAAATAGCGAGATATTGTCTCAAGGTGTTTATGGAATAGAAGGTAATGAAACACATACCTGCTAGTTCTCTGCCTCCAGAGTTTCGCCCGAACTTCGGCAGAGCTCCCGCAATCGCCCTGTATCTTGGATGTGTCTAATCTATCCAAGTATTTCAAAAGGAATTGGAGTT